GATTGAGCCGAACACTGCGCGAAAAGCGGCCACAATACGAGCAGAGGCATGAAAAAGTGATTTTACAGCATGACAACGCTAGGCCTCACGTTGCCAAACCCGTGAAAACCTACTTAGAAACGCTCAAATGGGAAGTCCTACCCCACCCGCCATATTCCCCAGATATTGCGCCGTCCGATTATTACTTGTTCCGTTTGATGGCACATAGTCTGGCTAATCAGCAGTTCCGCTCATATGAAGACATCTCAAAATGGCTTGATTCGTGGATAGCCTCAAAAGACGAACACTTCTACCGTGACGGTATTCGAGCTCTGCCAGAAAGATGGGAAAAAGTTGTCGCTAGCGATGGGCAATATTTTGAATGATTCATTTGTAACCATTTTTTCACAATAAAGTTGCATTTTCATAAAAAAAACAGCGAGAACTTACCAGGTATGTCGGTAATTACTTTCCGGTTTTTGTAACAGATGTCACTAGCCATAAGTATGCAATGTTATGATTTGATACATATGTCATTTTATTCTACTAACATTAACCTCAAAACTACACAAGTTACGTTCCGCCAAAATAACAGCGTTATAGATTAATAATTTTTTGAAAATGTCGAGTTTTGTGCCTGAAAACGTGCATTTGCGGCACGCGTTACTTTTCTTGTTTAATCAAAAGAAAAAAGCCGCTGAAAGTCATCGTTTACTGGTAGAGACTTATGGTTAGCATGCTCCAACCATAAGAACATGTGAAACGTGGTTTCGACAATTCAAATGTGGTGATTTCAACGTTCAAGACAAAAAACGTCCTGGTAGGCCGAAAACGTTTGAAGATGCGGAATTGCAGGAGTTATTGGATGAAGACCCAACACAAACTCAAAAACAATTGGCAGAAAAGTTGAATGTGAGCCGAGTAGCAATTTGTGAACGATTACAAGCGATGGGAAAGATCCAAAAGATGGGAAGATGGGTGCCACATGAATTGAATGACAGGCAATTGGAAAATCGAAAAATCGTCAGTGAAATGCTGCTTCAAAGGTATGAAAGGAAGTAATTTCTGCATCGAATAGTAACGGGTGATGAAAAATGGATTTATTTCGAAAATCCCAAGCGAAAAAAATCATGGTTATCACCTGGCGAAGGCGGCCCATCGACTGCAAGGCCAAATCGCTTTGGTCGCAAGACCATGCTCTGTGTCTGGTGGGACCAGGTTGGTGTCGTATATTATGAACTGTTGAAACCTGGAGGAACAGTTAATACTGATCGCTACTAACAACAAATGATCAATTTGAAACTGTGCATTGATCGAAAAACGTCCACAATACGCTCAAAGACATGATAAGGTGATTTTGCAGCATGACAACGCGCCGTCTCATGCAGCAAAACCAGTCAAAGAAGTGTTGAAATCACTTGGATGGGAAGTTTTATCGCACCCGCCGTACTCTCCAGACCTGGCTCCATCCAACTACCACCTTTTCGCATCGATGGGGCACGCGCTTGCAGAGCAGTACTTCGCCGATTTCGAAGAAGTTAAAAAATGGCTCGATGAATGGTTTAGCTCAAAGGAGAAACAGTTCTTTTGGAATGGCATCCATAAATTGCCTGAGAGATGGGCAAAATGTATAGAATCAAATGGCCAATACTTTGAATAAATATATTTTAACTATCCATTGTAAATAACGTGTTTTCTTTAGCGAAAAAACCGGAAAAGAATTACCGACACACCTGGTAGTTGCGCACCTAATATATATATATATAAATAAGACTTCTTTCAGAATGTAGAAAGAGAGGAAATAAAAAATAGACTTGCTTCAAAAATTAAAAAGTTAAACATGGAAGTGGCAGAAGTCAAAGTAAGAATATTGTTATTTTTCCTAATATATTTCAACAAAAAAATAAAAATATTTTAATGCAGTATATTGATATTCTCTATAGAAACCGTTGACTATAAAAAAAACAAGTAATAGCTCTTTGAAGAAATTACATGTATCCACATCAAAAGCTATCGATAATCAACAGAAATTGAATAAGGACAAGATGAGAAATTGTGCGCAAGATGGCAACAATAACAGCAAATTAGTTTCTTTTTGTGAAGTTGACTCTAATAAGAAGATAAATTATTTTCAATACAAAAAATAATTTTTTTTAAATATGCGAGCTAATTGGAATTAACATATAAACGTAATTGTAAAATATAATAATTTATTATTATTTATTATTGATATACAGAGCGATGATATTGAATCTGTAGATAATCAAGACTCTGCCTGGAAAGAAAAGATAGATCTTAATATTGATTAAAACAAGACAAAAATATAATATAATGTAATTATACTATGAATTGTTATTTAGATTAAGAAATTACGGCAAACAAACGAAAATCTGGAAAAAAAAAGTGTTTAAATTAAAGAGTGAAATAACAGATAAGGATAAGCTCATTAATGATTTAATGAAACTTAATATGAAGCTTCAAGGCAAAGTGATTGAAGAATATCCTAAACTCTATCAGATTAATGAAGAAATTCAAGCTAAAGTATTGAATAATTTTAATGAACTCACGTGTAAGTATATGTACTCAAAGAGAAATGTTGTGGATGTAACATGTAAAACATTTAGTTTTCCATGTTCTCAACTTATTTGTATTAAATAAAATATTTCTGAAGGCGTCCTCTGAAACCACATAATTAATATAAGCTATATTTAAACACTTTTATTGATATAAGTTATTTGAAAATATATTGATATGAAAATATACAATATATATTGAAAATATCACTTTTAAATGTTTCTACACTTTGTCATACTATTGTAACAATGTTTAAAATATCTTGATTTTAAAAATAACTTATTTATTACATTATAATCTTAATAAAAATGTTTATTTTATTACTACTGTGGCGCTTCGTGCCAACGTCGCGCCTGCGGAAAAAATATAGCTGGTCCATACCTGGAAACATACCTTTACATATTTATGATAGTTAAAGAGCACATTGTATATTTATTATATGCTTTCTGACTGGTATAAATACAATTGAATACTATGAAAATTGCTTTTTATTTTACAAGATGAAAAACGCAATTAATGTCCCTGAATACTCACATCGGTTATTTTTGTTTAATAATGTCAGAAGCAAGAAATCGCATATCAAAGATTTTTGCAACACACGTTGAAATAAAAATATAATGACGTAAAACAACATATTCGATTCAATATATTTGTAAAAATTGTCCTGTAAAGCTTTGAATACTTTTTGCTGTCTGTTCGCGAGTCCGCTTGGACGTATGACAAACAAAGAAAAAAAAAAGGCAAACGACGTTCAACGAATAATTTCGTATCGCTGCCGTGTTGATGTTTTGGGATAACCGGCAGAAGACGCCTCGATAAAGCAAAAATAAACAGCCGAAGTCTTACGTCCGAATTCGTTCGATCGCTCTATTGTCTTTGGAACACTGTTGATCTCAGCAAAGTCACGAAACGGCGGAATCATCTGGAATTTCGACATCCAAGCTCGTGCCTAGACCGAACGAGACCTTGGCGGTGAGAGGGAGAGGAGCGATAGATATATATTACTATGGAAACCACGATTTCGGGGCTTTTTCGCTTCGATTCTTTCTCGACGCCTGATCTCTCGGTCCGGTCCTCTCTCGAATCTTTACTAGCGATTGCGACTTGCATTGCTCACGGAGCAAAACCGATCCCTGCGTTGGTCTTGCATTTTGCGCGCGATATTCCTTTCGGGTCTTTTAGATCTTTTTCTTTTTTTTGTTTGTTTTGTTGTGTAAATTGATCGTTCGATTAAACGTCAGCTAAATTCAATCTGACCAACGACGGTTATTCTGAACCTCGCCCGTCCATCCAGCCTCCTCCGCGGCATTCAAGCCTCGATTCCACCGACCTCGTTGCCCAGCGCTGGGCGATACCGGCAAGTCGCGGCGCGATCGACCTCGCGCTATTCGGCGACGAAACACTGTCACAATCAGACAGTTAAAAAAATTGTGTGATATGCAACTTAGGTTTTACTTATCTTTTTTATTATCAACTTTTTAACATTAATTTTATAGTTATTCTAAATAAAAGGAAAGTAGTTAGAACATTTCAAAAAGTTGTGGAATCGATCACAAGTCTTCTTTTCTGAATATATCTTTTTCTCTCAACTGCAAGAGAATTTTTAGATTGCTATTTCTCGCATTTTCAAACATTCTGACATTCTCTAACAAGAACAACCACACACACACACACACACACACACACACACACACACACAGGGTGTTTCAGAACTTTACACACGCACTCCATAAGGGCATAGAGCTAAGTAAGAGGAACAAAAAAGTCCTTTTCTATAGAGCGAAAATGTTAATGGTCTTTTTAGTAATAACCGCGCAAAGTTTGGCGTTAGTCACGCTTAGCGCAGCCTATACATGCTCCACGGCTGTGTGCGTGGAGGCTGAACGGTAACGCGGCTCGCGCTGACCGTCGTGACAATGTGTGTGTGAATTTGTGTGTTGTGTTTGTGTTCAACTATCGTAACGGTCAGCGCGAACCGCGTTACCCCACAGACTCCACACACACAGCCGTGGAGCGTGTATAGGCCGTGCTGGCGTGACAAACGCCAAACTTTGTGCGGTTATTACTAAAAAACTATTAACATTTTTTCTATACGGAAAAGGACTTTTTTGTTCCTTTCACTTAGCTTTACGCTCCTATGGAGTTCATGTGTTAAAGTTCTGAGACATGTATAAATATTTTGAATAATGATTTATTTTGTTTTAACAGATTTAATGTCCGAATATTTTAAGCAAAATCTTACTACGTCTAAAAAGAGAGTTGGAGACCTTCCTATAAGTTATAGGAACATTGAACGTAATGAGGTAGATATGCAAATGATTGTTTTTCTTTTTTTATAAACTTCTCTGTATAGATTCATAATTTTTGTTCTATCTATAGACTCATCTTGGTTATGGAGTATTATATATACACGTCAATATGACACAGTATGTGTAATTTCAAGAACAATGGCACAGTTCGTGAAAAACTTGGCCATTGCTGTGTTTGGCATTAATACTCTTAAAAACAGTTCAGTAACTGGTGCTAAATCCAATAGAAATAAAAATAAAAAACAAGAGACACCTAGACCAGCACTAGATTCTACAAAGTTACAAGCTATAAGAGGTAATTTCTTATGCAAACTTCAAACTGTTTATTTATATTGTTTATTTTTTATTGTACAAGATATTTTCTTATTGTTTGTAGCTACTGTTAAACATTATGCAATGTCTGAAAAAGGTGAAGACGAAGTAACAGCAGACTATGAGGCACAACAAATTGGAACTCATATAGCACATAAGATTTATGAACTTAATAACCCACCAAATCGAAAAGGACGTCGTAAACAAAGTCCCATATTGATGCATGAAGTAACCCATGTCGAATGTGCTAATGAGAGGAATGAAAATGATACTATTCCAAAAAATACTGATTCCAGTGTCTCATTCAATGACTGAAACGAACAATGTAACAAAAGAACACGTTATATTTTCTGATAAAGAATGTGACAGAGAAATGATAGACAGTTCAGCACAAGGTGATAGTTGCAGTGATATTAGCGAGTAAACAGTAAAATATGATGATTTTTGTATTTGATATATATATATTATATATGTAATGTTTTAAAGGTGTTAACAAATTATATTTTGTAGATGTTAGCAGTTTATAAATTTATTTAAAATAAAACATTTCAAATAAATATTTCTTCCCGTTTTTAATTATTTTACTAGCTTCTAAATTTTACTTTTAATAGTATAAAGTTATATACACACGCGGAGAAGTTAATATAGAGTCACATACATCGGCGGATAGCATAACATAAAGTTAAATACACTTGCGGATTAAATAATATAGAATCGTATAGAATAGTATAAAATATATACACACGGATAGAACAGTACAGAATCACATACATGCGCATACTGTGCAGATAGCACAGTATAAAATCATATATACACGCGGATAAAGTAATATAGAGTCACATACACCGGCGGATAGCATAACATAAAGTTAAATACACTCGCGGATTAAATAATATAGAATCGTATAGAATAGTATAAAATATATACACACGGATAGAACAGTATAGAATCACATACATGCGTAGATAGCATAGTATAAAGTCATATATACACGCGGATAAGGTAATATAGAGTCACATACACCGGCGAACAGCATAACATAGAGTTAGATACACTCGCGAATTAAATAGCATAGAATCGTATAATTGAATAGTATAAAATATATATACACGGATAGAACAGTATAGAATCACATACATGCGTAGATAGCACAGTATAAAGTCATATATACACGCGGATTAGGTAATATAGAGTCACATATACTGGCGGATAGCATAACATAAAGTTAAATACACTCGCGGATTAAATAATATAGAATCGTATAGAATAGTATAAAATATATACACACGGATAGAACAGTATAGAATCACATACCAGGTGTGTCGGTAATTCCTTTCCGGTTTTTTCGCTAAAGAAAACATGTTATTTACAATGGATAGTTAAAATATATTTATTCAAAGTATTGGCCATTTGATTCTATACATTTTGCCCATCTCTCAGGCAATTTATGGATGCCATTCCAAAAGAACTGTTTCTCCTTTGAGCTAAACCATTCATCGAGCCATTTTTTAACTTCTTCGAAATCGGCGAAGTACTGCTCTGCAAGCGCGTGCCCCATCGATGCGAAAAGGTGGTAGTTGGATGGAGCCAGGTCTGGAGAGTACGGCGGGTGCGATAAAACTTCCCATCCAAGTGATTTCTACACTTCTTTGACTGGTTTTGCTGCATGAGACGGCGCGTTGTCATGCTGCAAAATCACCTTATCATGTCTTTGAGCGTATTGTGGACGTTTTTCGATCAATGCACAGTTTCAAATTGATCATTTGTTGTTAGTAGCGATCAGTATTAACTGTTCCTCCAGGTTTCAACAGTTCATAATATACGACACCAACCTGGTCCCACCAGACACAGAGCATGGTCTTGCGACCAAAGCGATTTGGCCTTGCAGTCGATGGGCCGCCTTCGCCAGGTGATAACCATGATTTTTTTCGCTTGGGATTTTCGAAATAAATCCATTTTTCATCACCCGTTACTATTCGATGCAGAAATTACTTCCTTTCATACCTTTGAAGCAGCATTTCACTGACGATTTTTCGATTTTCCAATTGCCTGTCATTCAATTCATGTGGCACCCATCTTCCCATCTTTTGGATCTTTCCCATCGCTTGTAATCGTTCACAAATTGCTACTCGGCTCACATTCAACTTTTCTGCCAATTGTTTTTGAGTTTGTGTTGGGTCTTCATCCAATAACTCCTGCAATTCCGCATCTTCAAACGTTTTCGGCCTACCAGGACGTTTTTTGTCTTGAACGTTGAAATCACCACATTTGAATTGTCGAAACCACGTTTCACATGTTCTTATGGTTGGAGCATGCTAACCATAAGTCTCTACCAGTAAACGATGACTTTCAGCGGCTTTTTTCTTTTGATTAAACAAGAAAAGTAACGCGTGCCGCAAATGCACGTTTTCAGGCACAAAACTCGACATTTTCAAAAAATTATTAATCTATAACGCTGTTATTTTGGCGGAACGTAACTTGTGTAGTTTTGAGGTTAATGTTAGTAGAATAAAATGACATATGTATCAAATCATAACATTGCATACTTATGGCTAGTGACATCCGTTACAAAAACCAGAAAGTAATTATCGACATACCTGGTACATGCGTAGATAGCACAGTATACGAGGGTGGTCCGATAAGTACTTAGCCTACAAAAGAAAAATGAAAATTTTGGAAAAGTGGCGATTTATTTCTCAACATAGTCTCCTTTTAGCTCGATACACTTGACCCAGCGATGCTCCAACTTCTTTAACCCGTCTGAAAAATACGTTTTCTCGAGGTCTGCAAAGTAGACCTCCGTGGCGGCGATGACCTCCTCATTCGACTCAAATTTCTGCCCGGCGAGTGACTTTTTCAAGTTTGGAAACAAAAAGAAGTCGCACGGGGCCAAATCTGGAGAATACGGTGGATGGGGCAGCAGTTCGTAGCCCAATTCGACCAATTTGACCGTGGCAAGGGCGGAGGTGTGAGCCGGTGCGTTGTCATGGTGGAAAAGCACTTTTTTCTTCGCCAAATGGGGCCGTTTTTTCTGCAATTCGGCGTCGAATCGGCCCAATAATTCGGCATAGTACAGCCCTGTGACCGTTTTGCCCTTCTCCAGGTAGTCGATGTAGATCACACCTTGTGAATCCCAGAAAACGGTGGCCATCACCTTTCCGGCCGATAGGACAGTCTTCGCCTTCTTCGGAGCACGTTCGCCGGGTGAAGTCCACTGTTTCGACTGTTCCTTGGTCTCTGGTATGTACCAGTGGATCCATGTTTCGTCGACGGTCACGAAACGACGCAGAAACTCCTTCGGATTGCGCTTAAACAGCGTCAAACACTGCTCTGAAGTGGTCTCACGGTTGCGCTTGTTGTCCGGAGTGAGCAAACGCGGCACCCATCGCGCCGACAGCTTTCTCATACCCAAAATTTCATGCAGAATATGACCCACGCGGTCTTTTGAGATGCCTACTGTCTCAGCTATCTCGCGCACCTTCAATCGGCGGTCTGCCAATACGAGATCGTGGATTTTTGTCATGTTATCCTCCGTGGTAGCCGTTTTCGGGGCACCTGGGCGTGGCTTATCAAAAACCGACGTGCGACCACGTTGAAACTCGTTAAACCAATTTTTGACGGTCGCCATCGAAGGAGAAGAGTCACCGTACACAGCATCTAAGCGCTCTTTGATTTCGCTGCGCGATTTCCCTTCCAAAAACAAGAATCGAATCACCGATCGATATTGCTCTTTTTCCATTTTTCTAAAATCCGCGGACACGCCCGCTTCCACACGCGGTCAAAACAAAACTACGAGTCCGATTCGGCTGAAATTTCGACAGTAGCCGTCTATGAGAATGTATTACACGATAGTAAATTTCTCTTGCGATAGTGGCGCCATTGGGCGGTAAGGCCAAGTACTTATCGGACCGTCCTCGTAAAGTCATATACACACGCGGATAAGGTAATATAGAGTCACATACACCGGCGGATAGCATAACATAGAGTTAGATACACTCGCGAATTAAATAGCATAGAATCGTATTGAATAGTATAAAATATATACACACGGATAGCACAGTATAGAATCACATACATGCGTAGATAGCACAGTATAAAGTCATATACATACGCGGATAAGGTAATATAGAGTCGCATACACCGGCGGATAGCATAACATAGAATTATATACACTCGCGGATTAAATAGTATAGAATGGTATAGAATATATATTGGGTGAGTGCAAAAGTTCGTGCGGAGTTTGTGAGTAAAAGTCACACAGTGATTAGGCAAACAAAAATCTTTATTCAATCAATGATATATTCTCCATCGTTTTCTATAATCTTTTCCCAACGTTCTGGCAGCATACCGATGCCTCGATCATAAAAACTGCGCGGTTTAGATTCGAAGAACGAAGAGACGCCGTTTTTTAAGGCCTCCAAAGAGTCAAAGTTTTTTCCATTTAAATAATTTTGCAATGACCGGAACAAGTGATAGTCAGATGGTGCGATATCAGGAGAATACGGTGGATGCGTTAAGACATCCCATTTCAGGCTCTTCAGTTTGCGCAGCGTCTTTTTCGAAACGTGTGGTCTGGCGTTGTCGTGATGAAAGACGACTCTCTTGCGATTTGACAAAATCGGACGTTTCTCTTTTATTTCTCGATTCAGATTGGTTAATTGGCGACAGTACTTGTCCGAATCAATCGTTTCGCCAGCGGGGAGAAGCTCGAAATAGATTATGCCCTTGCAATCCCACCAAACAGAGAGCATCACCTTCATCGGGTGCAAACTGGTCTTTGGCATTGCGTCATCATGCTCACCTGATTGTTTCCATGTCCGTTTGCGCTGAACATTGTTGTAGAGGACCCATTTCTCATCGCCCGTCACTAGTCGATCCAAAAACGACTCGTTATTGAGCCGCCCGAGTAAAGAAACGGCTGCAGAAATTCGCTTGATTTTGTTCTTCTCGGTCAGCAAATGGGGCACCCATATATCGAGCTTCAAATCGAATCCCATCTTTTTTAAACGCCGAAAAGCGGTTGATCGGTCAACGTTTAGTGCTGTAGCAACTTCTTCTGTTGAAATTCGCGGATTATTGAGCACTAAAGTACGCAAAACATCGTCATCAATGTCAGAAGGTCGACCAGAGCGTGGCTCGTCTTCAAGGTTAAATTCTCCGCGCCGAAATTTAGCAAACCATTTTTCCACAGTTCGTTTAGCTGGTGCTTCATCCTGATAAACATCCTGAATGTTTTTTACGGCAACGTTTATTCCCTTCCGAAACTCGTAAAGCATAACATGCCGTAAATGCACCTTATCGATACTCATTTTTAAAGTGATATTTCTCGAAGCAGTTTGTATGAAAACAAATGATTTTTTTTTAATAACAGCTGAAGACGTCACCTTTCCAACGTTATATAATATGTAGATGGAAGTATTAATGACAACACTTTACGACGCTTATAACTCCATCTATTGAAACTCCGCACGAACTTTTGCACTCACCCAATACATATACACGGAAAATAGTACAGAATCACATATATACGTGGATAGCATAGTATAAAATCATATACCCGCGCGGATCGCATAACATAGAGTTACATACTCTCACGGGTTAAATAGTATAGAATCATATGCATTCGTGGATAGAATATTATAAGGTCGTATATACACATGGATCGAGTAACATAGAGTCATATGTACAGATGTGGATAGAATAACAAAGAAACACATATACCTGCTGACAGAATAGTATAGAGACACATATACTTGCAGATATGATAATATAGGGTCACGTCACAAACGCTTGCAAATAGAATAATATAGAATCACATACGCACGTCTGCAGGAATATAATATTGTAAAAGATAAGCCAGCTATACAAAATTTCTTAAGTGCGTTATGAAATATACGAGAAAAAATCACCATTGAATATGATAGGCATAATTTTTTATCATTTTCTATCCATCATTTTAAGCAGGGCCCTTGATCCGTCAGGATAAAATTATAGTTTATATAGATGATATTTTGATTCCGTCAGATTCTATTGAATCAAATTTGCAGACGCTCAAGGAAATTTTGCTTATTTTGAAACAGTATGGTTTTGAATTAAATTATGCAAAGTGCCAATTTTTGAAATCGGAAATAGAATTTTTAGGTTATGTTATTTCCTCCCAAGGAATTACAATGAGCAAGCGTCATACAGAAGCGATTGATTCGTTTCCGATGCCGAAAAACGTTTATGAGTTACAACGTTTTTTAGGGCTTACTAATTATTTTCGTAAATTCATACATAATAATGCGGTAAAGGCGAAGCCGCTGACTGAATTATTAAAGAAGGCAGTCTCATTTGATTTCGCGAATGAATGTCAGCGTTCTTTCGATTGTCTAAAGCAAGAATTAGTGTCATATCCGTTGTTACAACACTTTAATCCAAAGGCGGAAACCGAGTTGCACACGGATGCCTGTTCACAAGGCCTTGGTGCTATTTTATTGCAGAAACAATCCTTCGGGCACTGGGCGCCGGTAGCGTATTATAGCCAAACTACCAATTAAGCTGAAGCTAACTACCACAGCTTCGAATTGGAAATGTTGGCAATTGTTAAGGCTGTGCAACGTTTTCATATTTATTTGTATGGAGTTACATTTAAAGTTATTACTGATTGCAACGCCATTATTTACGCTGTTAACAAAGCCAATTTGAATCCTCACATTGCGCGATGGACTTTGCAACTGCAAAATTATTCTTTTATAATAGCCCACAGACCAGGCAATCGTATTCCACACAACAATATGACGTCTAAAAGACATCTTAAAATTTTTTAGACGTCTTAAAAAGTTGTCAGAATGACGCCTTTATGACGTCTTTAAGACGTCTTCTGTCCTGATTTAAGACGTCTTTTAGATATTATTTTAAGACGCCTTTCAGACATTATTTTAAGACGTCTTTTAGACATTAATTTAAGACGTCTAAACGACGTCTTATTTAAGATAATTTTAAGACGTTTATAATCTAATAGTCGGTAATACAAGTTACTGCAATTTTAATAAATAATCGTAATTTTGTATAATAAAATTTAATTTTATTTAATATAATATAACATAACTAATAATAATGTAATATAATATATAATATAATATGATATAATATATATAATATAATATGATATAATATATATAATATAATATAATATAATATAATATAATATAATATAATATAATATAATTGATTTGGAAATGATCTGAACGTTTGCCATACGTTTGGCAAAGATCCGGATCACATTCCCTGACAGCCAGATAACGAGGACACTGCTTTGTATTGCATTGCGCCTTGCACCTACATTCAGGAAATCTGTTCTGGCATTTGTTATTGATAAAACTTCTCGCAGAAGTTTGTGCTTGTATACGTATATTTTTACTTTGATATTTTTATGTTTTGTTACGTCCCCGTAACATTAAACAATATTTCTAAATTCAATCATAAAATCAATTCAATAATAACGTTTAGACCGGATATTTTGGCTACTTGATCTTCAGTTTAGACGTAATAAATACAACACCGAATGCTTCTTCATCGGAGAAGACTAAAAGAACAATGGGTAGATAATAAATACCATAACCACGATTATTGATTATCACTCTTATATCATGGAAAACATCCTTCTCCTACTATTAATAAGGTGGTAAGAACTCGCGCGGGGGTATCTCACCACCTGCCTATAAAAAGCGACGCGCAGACCAGTGGATGGGATTGATTCATTGATTCGATTATCGTTCATTCATTCAGAAAGATTCATTCCATACCATTCATTCACTTACCCATTCTTGTATTTCACGACTCAAACACAAAGAGAAAACATTCTTAACACTCTGATTTATTGACTCTCAATTGTAAAAGGTAACAATTAAAGATTCGATACTTAAAAATTTGTCTCCTCAGATTAAATCCTAAAGATCCTTCTTCGTTCCGAGTTAAAACATAATTCACACAAACCAGTCCGTCCCGGGGTAAATTAGTTAAATCTATTGACCTCAAAAAGGACTAACTTACATACATACACGTTTCACGTCGTGACAGTTTCGAGATGTCCATAAAAAACTTGAACATATTTCAAAAAGTTCCTTTATCTACATATGCAAAAAATCTCTATTACTACAATTTTGCAAAATTGGGCAGACAAATGAAAATGTAAAATTTAATTAAAAATAAAGAGGCATACAAATCAGGCAGTGCTTATTTCTTTTCTAATATTTCAGCTGTATGTATTCGCTTGATGCACCATTTATACGTATAAAAGTCCATATAATATACAGGGTGGACCATTTTAACCTTTAATGGAGAATAACTCGACCGGTGAGCGAAATAATGAAAAAAGTTTCATACAAAAGTTGTTGGACAAGGAGGGGGACGTATGACCATATCCTTGAATTTGACCTTGACTTTGACCTTAAGGGTTATTTGAAGGTCAAATAACATTTTTTAAATGGAATTGCCTATTTTCGACCCCGGATTTGGAAAGAGCGGGAAATTTTAGAATAGGATATGGTATGATCGATAAGATCAAATGTCATGTTTTGAGGTCATTTCAAAGTCAAAAGGAACTTGTACGTGTATTCATGCGAAAATCGTATCTGTATACGGGGATTTCTAAATTATCTTCTACACTTAGCATTACCCAGAGACAACGACGTGGACGTGGTAGAATTCTGCCTCTTTCGGGGTGCTTGTTTAGAGTGAGTCCCCTTGCTTCTCACTATGCATACTTTGCTATTGTTAATCTAGCTATTCAAAAGGTTTTCGAAAGTTGCACCGTTAGCATTTATGCAATAATTGAGCCTTCTTTGGAAATGGGCCACTGTGCTGAGCAAGACATTTCGTGGAATCGCTTCACAAGCTCGTCTTATGCGATTTTCCATATCTTCTCTTGTTGTTGGTTCTTCTTTGAAAACAACTTCTTTCAAATAGCCCCAGAGATAAAAATCGAGTGACGTCAAATCAGGAGAACGAGGAGGCCATGCAATCGGACCCTCTCGACCAATCCATCGGTTCGGGTACCTTTCATCTAAAAACCTCCTGACTATACGTGCAAAGTACGGTGGTGCACCATCATGTTGGAAGAACATCCTTCGCCTGGTTTCCAAGTCTACGTTCTCCAACAAATGAGGCAATTGGTCTGTGAGCAAATCGAGGTACGTATTTGCATTCACAGTACGTTCGAAAAAGAATGGACTGACCAAGTATCCATTAACAATCAACACCGCTGGAGCCTCAATGTCTGGTGCGGGCCCTTGCGGAGGCCGAGGGCTATATCGGACTCCTACCGACTAAAACCCCTGCGGGATGTCTACCTGTCGGGCCGAAGAGAGGGGAGTCAGGGGAACTACTCCCGTATTCCCTTCCCAACCCTCCGGTCCCAGGGCCCTCCGGGAGCCCCACGCCTCCGTGTACCGCGCCCTGTTCCGCAAAATGAATCCAAGGCGCGGTCCCGGCGGGTTATCCTGATGGTTGGCCTTTTGATGTTTACCTAGGAGAGAGGGGACATCCACCCTCCCTCCTTACTTCCCCTGCCTACTAGGGAGGGAAGGATTTTGGGGGAGTGGGCTCAGCCCCAACTGGGTGCTATAACCCCCCTGTCCCTACCCTAGTAGTAGAACTACGTTCTACGCGCAGGAGGGGACCCAGGAAATCCACCACAGGCGAGTCCCTGCGAGGACCCGTTCCGGTCGGGATACCCGCCCCCCCTCCCCCCCGCGGACGGAGGCGGGCTCGAGACGGCCGAGGAGGATCTGGCCCTCTGTCATCCAGAGGTCCTTCGTCCTCCTCAGCCGGTGTCATCTCGGGCCCGCTTTCTAGACCCTCCCCCCCCCGGGGAGCGCCGACACCACGTCGCCTCCTGCGACGGGCTACCGGTCGACGCTCCCGTCCGACGGCCCCCTTTTGGGACAGAATGTCCTTGCAAAAGGAGACCGCCGCTTCCCATACCCCCTCGCTCCCGCACATGGCCTGGACCATGCGCGGGAGCGAGATCTCCTCCTCCCGACACCCCACCGTCCCGGCCAGAACACGGCGCTCCACTGCCGACGCCGGACAAGCGGCCAGAGTGTGGTGCACCGTGTCCATTAGCACGGGTCAATGGTGGCACCGGGTGGTGGGCTCCTTACCGATTCGGTGCAGGTACTTGCCAAAACACCCATGGCCCGTCAGCACTTGCACCAGATGGAAGGTCAACCCACATCCCCTCCTGCCCGCCATTTCTGGCAGGCAGGGGCGGACAGCCTCGACCGTTATGCGCCCGAAACCTCGTGGGTCCGACAGAACGTCGCCCCAGTGAGACCCAGGTCCACGATGGTACCCTCCACCGATGCCACCGCAATCTCCGCTTTGAGGCGGCCTTCCATCCAGCTCTCCCTCCCAGCCACCACTAATGTGTCGTCCGCATAGCAGACGACGTGGCAGCCTGGCGGGAGCGGAGTGCGCAACAACCGGTGGAACGCGATGTTCCATAGCAGGGGACCCAGTACGGACCCCTGCGGAATACTACGTTCCGTAACACACCGGCCCTGGAGTCCGTCTTTCTTCGGGAAGACGAGGTCCCTGTCCCCAAAGTAGGCCGACAGGATCCGCCGGAGATAGACAGGCACCGCGTGGTGTTCGAGGGCCCGCCCAATCTCCGGCCAGGGCAGGGTTTGAAGGCGTTTTTAATATCTGAAGACACCGCCAACAACACCACACCCCTCTCTCCACGATTGTCGCGGTGAGGCCCCGGAGGTGTTGGACCGCGTCCAACATCGACCTCCCGGACCTAAATCCATACTGACAGTCGTGGAGGTCCGGCCCCTCTGAGGGCAGGTGCTGGACGGGGCGGTCGGCAATAATGCGTTCGAGCATCTTGCCCGCCTCGTCCAGCAGGCATATCGGCCTATATGCCGGCGCAGCCCCGGGTGTTTTGCTCTCCTTGGGGAGAAGGACCAGCTTGGCCCTCCTCCAATCTGGGTGGAACACCCCCTCTTTGAGGCAGCCGCTAAAAACCCCGCGTAAGGCGGCGGATATGTTTCCCTCGCTGAGGGCGAGAGCCCAGGCGCGACCAGGAATCTCGTCGGGGACAGGGGCTTTCCCTTTGGCCCCGAGCCTCTTCCTGGCCTTGACGAAATCCTCACAGCCGGGCCCTCATCCCAGTCCCCTTCCCTCATTTCGGGGGCGGGGATCCTGGGAGGGCCCCCTTCCACCCTCGGAAAGAGGGTATCGAGGAGCCCCTCGAGGGCCCGACTGTCCAATGACTCCGTCGGCGGGGGCGCCCAAGGGCGGAGTTTCCCCATCGCCCTTTTATACGGGCGCCCCCACGGGTCATCGTCCAGGGAGCTCGTCAGTTGGTCCCAGGCTGCTCGCTTAGCCTCAGCGATGGCGTCTCGGAGGGCTTTCCTAGCGACTAGGTACCCCTCCGTCGCCCTCGTGACATCCCCGTCTCTTCGCTGGGCCAACGAACGGTAATAGTACCGCCTGGCGGCGACGACGGAGTCGCGGAGTTCCGCGATCTCCTCCGTCCACCAGTACGCGA